TTTTAAATTTTATGCGTTTTATTCTGGTTAACTTATGTATTCTTATTTAGTTCATTTATTTATTTTCTCAGTAGCAAGCCAAACCAAATTTCATTGCGCTATGTGTAATGATAATAGAAACCATTCATTCATTGCTATACATTACTAATTATTTTAAGTATTCTTGAGCAATAGTTCTCCAGCTTTTCTAAAGTTTTTCTTTGGGCATTGGCTGCTTTTCCACCCATTTTCACCCCAGTCCTTGTACATTGTCCATGTTCTAGGAATTATATTTGATAAGCCATTTAATACTGATTTATGAATCATTCAAGGTTAAAACAGGCAACTAACTCAAATGAGGAAGCAGTGTTGTCTTTACACGTAACGGATAAAAATAAATCTAAATAATAATAAATAAATCAAATTCTATCTTTAGCCAATATTTGAGGAAATGAACAAGTGGCAAGACTAAAACAATTATCTACAGCAGATGAACAGTATCTGAAAATCATATCCTTAAGAAATAGACAAATAAATCCAGCAAAGACGTCACATTCGAGATGGATCTGGCCCGTAGGTTGATCCATCTTCTGTTTACTAAAGCCTCATCAGAAAAGGTATGTGGAAAAGGTGGCTGTCAAGAAGTCATGAGGAAGGAAAACAAGGAGAAAAAGCTGAGGTATGCCAAATTACACAAGAACGAGACTGAAAATCAGTGGCAACAGGTCTTGCGGAGTGATTAATCCAAACATTTTGGTTGGGATTTTTGGTTCAAATCACTTTCAGTATGTACAGAGTCCAGCCATCTGTAAATCACAGTGGAGGCTCTGTCATTATTTTGAGCTGCATTTAAGCCACATGGTGTTGGGGAACTTGGCAAAATTTATGGAGTTATGAGCTGCTGTCAGAATTTGAGGCACCATGCAACACCAGAAAGAGTGCGGAAAGAGTGTTTCTGGCACCAGCTTTATTTTTTTTAGTGTGATGATGATACCAAACACACTCCCCATGCAGCAAACGCACACCCGGAACAAAAAAACCCACAGAAAACATCCAAAGAAGAGCTTTGAATGTCTTTCAAGAATCTTAGAGAACTATTCCTGGAGGCTACTTTAAGAAATTGCAAGAAAGCTTGTCTAAGAGAGTCCAGGCTATGTTGAAGAAATGTGGTCATACCAAATATTGACTTTCAGACTTATTAGAATTGTGCAAAAAATGTTCTTTTTCTTTATGCGTAGTCTCTTAGATCTTTTTTTTTTTTTTTTTAGCAGTACTGTATATCCTAGGGTCAGCAGTGGTAACCAACAGGTACGTAATTCAGAATATAAATGATACAGTTTACTCTGTATTTAAGTAGAGTAAACTGTATTAACTATATCCTGTTCATAGTGACACAGGTTAGGACAAAACGGAATCTGTCTGGCTTAAGGTTAATCTAGCTGTTTACAGACACGTTTGGCAGGGTTTAGCCCCCATAAAGCCTCAGTGTTCACAGCCAACAGTACAGTGTTGTACTTTTATAAACAAAGCCGTTAGTTTAACCTCGCAGCTACCGCGAATATGAACACACGGGTGTAAACTGAGAAAATAAAACAACTCTATCATTTCGATTCAAAATTATGTTACTTTACACGCAGTTTTACTTGACGTTGGGCGCCTCCTCGCGACGAAAAAATAAAGGTTGCGTTGGGGTCGCGTGTGGTAGCGTCATTACGTAAATATTGTGTTGACGTGGCGTGAGCGGTAGCAGTTCAATAGCGGTTAGCAGGTACGTAACAAACAGACTACAGGGAGAGACCAAGGAGAATCCAGTGGAAGTATGGACAGTAGAAAGAACAATTGAGGGATCGGGATTCACTTTATCAGGCAAAGGTAGTTGTAAACGATTTCCTAAAGACATTTTAATCAACTGCTGATCAACGGGACACAAAGCTCATTAGCGGTGGTGACATAATAAATGTGGACTCCAGTTAGCACTAGCCTAGCCCGTGGAGATGGGTTTCTGTTTGGTTGTACATGTCGCTTCTTGTTGGAGAGGATGTGGAAAGTCTGTTTAAGACAGTAGTTTAATGGCTTAAAGAAAGTGTTTCTTAACTTACGCAGTTATTTCTGAAATATAATCGTCCCACACCTCACTGTTGTTTTACGAGAAAAGCGAGAGTGTAGCAGCATTGTGCTTTTCGTAGACAACAACGTAGCTAAATAGTTGCTAACCTTTTTTTAGCCACCATATCACTTTACGAGCTTGGTTAGGTATTCGCATGCTTGCGTACTTGAATAAGAAGATGATTGCTGGTGTGTCCGTTGTTTAAACCATTCAGCACTAGATGCTGCTTACATAGCACTCGTTGTCTGGCCTTACATTGGTCCAAAAGTAGACGGCTTCTTGTTTAAACTGATAACATAGTATTGCCTTGCGGTTATTTCACAATTGTGATATGGTGGACCTTTATCTGATCTGACTGAGCCTTTTTGAGAGCTGACTAGCCTGATCATATAGCATGATCATAGTTGAGACTAAAACATTCAGTGTAATCAGTCTTATCTGTCAGATCATAGCAGGATTAATGTGTTTTCTGTATATACAGCCAAAATGTTAATGCCTATTCTGTTGAACTACAGTAGCACATGTTAAGTAAGTTGGATAGCCCATAGATTTTAAGATGCACACTCTAATACGTTTTTTTTCTTGATTCAGTCTGTCAGCCTGTGCTCTGAGCCATTGTTTCCTTCTGCCTAAAACAGTGAAGAAAAATGTCCAGCAGAAGCCAGCACTATGGATTCCAGTCAGCCACCATGGTGCAGCCTGCCAATGGCGGGCATGCCTATCTGTTCGGAAACAACAGCTCAGAAAATGATATGTCAGAAGAGGATGGGGAAAGCTATGAGCTTCGGCCTCGTGGCAGAGAGAGACTCCGGAGGAGCACCTCTAAAGAGAGAATGGATGACATTATCTATTTGACCAGAGATATCCAGGAGGGAGACACTCTGAACAGCATTGCCCTACAGTACCATTGCTCAGTATGTGTTTACTTAGATTTGTGTGTTTGTCTTACCTCTCCTTTGCAGCATGGACTGAAATCCTCATTTGTATGTTTTTGTATACCTGCACTTTTCCCTTTACGTGGGAAACGTACAGAAACATGCTTTGTTGCTTTATGTTTAGGAAAGCAGGTGAGTTGTAGGTAGGTAAGCTGCTGTTGCTCACTTTATTTTATGATGATAGTTATTAATTTCTGAAATTGAAACTGCTGCTAGACAAAGAATTGGAAGCAACCTAACACCTTCAGATTGAATATTTGTAGTTTTCATGTTTCAAGATGACTTCTTACTATATGTAAAGCAGCTCTTTATTTAGAAAAGGTATGTGAGATTGACAGATGTCTGTGGAAAGTTTATTATAATCAGGGTTTTTTATATATGCTTGTAAAGAGTTCAGGTACAATTCAGTGGTTGGCTCTAAAGGTTTAACAGACAGCAAATTGTAAGTGGCTTATTAATTACTAATTATAATTGTTTTTATTTTTTTCCCCCTGTGAATCCCAGGTGGCGGACATCAAGCGTGCCAACAACCTTTTGACAGAGCAGGACTTTTTTGCCCTGCGTTCAGTTAAGATTCCTGTGAGGCGCTTTAGTGTCCTCACTGAGACTCATAACGCTGCTACTCTCAAATCTGCCTCGCCCACAGGCACTAGACACCCGCCTCAGGTCTCGCACATTACTTCTCTCCCTTCTGAATCCTCCATGGACTCCTGTTCTTCCACTGACAGCGTGGAAGGATTCCTGATGGAGAAGGACAAGGACATTGAGCGGCTGGTGAAATCCACAGGACCATCTCGGAGCGGCCTCAGTGAGGTTGTGTCCTCTTTAACGCAGCAACAGCAGCAGCCATTACTAGGAGAAGCTGGATATAAACCAGTACAGAGGAAGGATCCTTATTATGGGGCAGACTGGGGCATGGGATGGTGGACTGCTGTGGCAATCATGCTTTTTGTCGGCATTGTCACACCCATCTTTTATCTGTTGTACTATGAAGTTCTTGTGAAAGCTGACGTCAGCCATCATGGTATGCCTACACAAACTGAGAAAGGCTTGTCTCATGAGTCTCAACAAGGCAACGGTTTGATCGGGAGTAAAGACATTCCTGGAGATGCTCAACCTAAGCTTGCAGTTAATGGAGCTCAGCAGGGACAGGTTGCGGACAAAGCAGAAGACGGTGGAGATAGAGAAAATGAGAAAACATAGCAAGGAATTTCCACCTAAAATGTGTCGCTAACTCAGAGAACTAATAGAACTATGCTGATGTTCCCATTTACAGATAACTTTTAAAACATCACTCTAATCTATCTGGCTGAACTATACAGGAGACAATAACTTTGGAGGATTGAAAGATTAAGTTGTGGCCACAATCATAACTTGTGTCTCTCCATTTGCATACAGTTGACAGACTGAATGTGGGTCCAACTCCTTGCAAGATTTATGTCTGGTTTGATAGACCAATGCTGTGCTGCTTCAACCTTTTTAAAAGTGACTGCATTTTATAGTTGGTCTGAGTGTCTCCTGTAAACTCGAGATGGTGTCTTTGCAGTCAGCTGTGCTGGAGAATTTTTAGCCGGTTACACACAAATGCTGCCCAGGGAGTTACAGACAGCAGCACTGCAGAATAAACTATTCGATTAAAATGGTTCAGCTCATCTGTGGATTTGTATAAAAGATGTTTGAGCTGTAACTTTTGCCATGTTAGTTACATTGTACTTTCCAATGGTACTTGTTGGAAAAGTTAGGATTGCTGCCACTTTGTGTAATTAAAATTAATTTATTTGAAGACTGAACATCAGTCTTTATGTACACTACCAGTATTGATCATCAGTTGGAGTTAAAATGAAATTTTCTTGAATCTCCATCCTGTTTGAAAGAACTGTGGGGTTTTTTCCCCCAATTAAGAAACAAAAATATAAATAAGAGCATGGTGAGGAAAATGCACAATATTCCCACAATAACGCATTTGTAATTATTTACAATTTTTAGACTTGTTATGTAGCCCTTTTATTTTATCATTGTGTTCAGTTGATATTCTATGACAGAACATTGTGTGTTAACAGTATGTGCCTTCAACCTGTGAAACCTGTCTACAGGATGAAAAATAAATCAATCTATTTTGAATAAATTATTGCCATGTGCACATATTTCAGCATTTCTTATTTACATTAGTCTTTAACGAAAGCTCGATCAGAAAAAGAAATCGCTCCACTCTACTGAACAGCTTTCCCAACTCATGTGCAATTTTTAACCAAAAGAAGCAGTCACATTATGTTTAACTTCAGCACGTCCGTGCTTGAGAGATGCTCAATATGTTGCTTCGCCATCCATATTATCGTCACTGTCCGCGGCGAAATCTTCACCGTTGTCGAAGTAGCTTTCTATGTAGTCGTTTTCCTACACAGGACAAATAAAAAGCAATGTTAGATCTAGTTTATACATATTGATCATTATGTGTAACACATTTTGCAGTACATCTTGAAATTTGCACCTCTTCAATATCCTCCTCTTCATATTCTTCCTCTTCAATTTCCTCTTCTTCATCCTTATTTCCCGGCTTCTTTTCAGTCTCCTCATCTGATTTTTCAGGGTCATCTTTGTTTGCCAGTTCCTGACATTAATATCAAATTACTCATGAGAAACACCAAAGATATGGAGAGAGAATTGAGTGTAAATTTAAATGAAGCTTACATCTAATTTGGTCAGAATGTTCTCTGCGTCCTTGCGTGATATCTTCGCACTTTTCTTTGTGGCTGTTGGAGTTAAACATTGTTACTATAAGAATAAAGACCCAAAGTAAAAAGAAATGTCATTTCATACATATTGTGTTTAATGTACCCGTTTTAGCTCGAGGTCGTTTTCTTCTGGGCATCAGTTCTTTTGGAAAAAAGTTCCAGTCTAAAGAAAAAAAATTCAAGAAAAATGTTATTATCGTCCTCTTTTTTTGTGTTCCACCTAATCCCATGATGATGTGTTACATACGTACCTGGAGTCCATTCATTGTCATCAATCTGGCTTTGCTTCAGGTATCTCTCGGTGTATCTCTCCACTTCTGTTTTCATGTAAACAAAAGAAAGGTCATACTCTTAAAAACACTTAGACTCTATTGTGCGTTAACACAAACCGCAGTGTTACTCTTAATCCTCACCCCACATTGTCATGGTCAGTAGTTTACATACAGTCAATGGCATGAATGTCATGGTAATTTGGGGCTTTAATGATTTCTTTGAACTGTTATTTTTATAGAGTAGAAGGACTGCACAGCATGCATCATTAATGCCTCTAACAACAAAACAAAAAAACCCCAAAGAATTTGTTACACAAGCTTGGATTAATTTTGGCAGTTCTTGAAGGATGGAAGGATTGATAACGCTAAATGGCGCCCACCCAGACGGACCCGACTTTTAAGCATAGTCCACAAATTTTCAATAACATTGAGGCTGTGGTTTTGGGAAAGCTAGAATCTTAATGTTGGTCTTGCTTTATCCAATCCAAAACCAGTTTTGATGTGCATTTGGGAACACTGTCCTGTTTGAACACCCAGTGGTGTCCAAAATTTCAACCGTCTAGCTGTGGATTTAAGGTGAATTTGAAGTTGTTGATTTTTTTCCAGACGAGAATTTGGCCATGTAGGCAGCTGCAAATTTAAATTTAAATTGAAGTTGTTGATTTTGGAGCGGGGTATTCTTTTGTGGTCGGCAAAAGAATTAAAACTCGCTTCAGCGGCTGGTCTTAGTAATTTCAATTTCACGGTAGACTTGAGACCCAGTTGTTCTTCGGTTGTCTGTGAACATCCTAACCAATTTTCTCTCCTCTGAGGGTAACAGTTCGGATCTTCTTCCAGAAAATGGAAAACTTGGAATCTGATATTGTTTAAAAACAGCTCAAATAGACTTTCCCAAATTATGTAAATTATCAATTCTCCTTCTTGGATCTTCACAGAGTTCCTTCAACTCTCCCATTGGGCGTCAATCCAATGACCCCTGTCAAACAAATCCTTCTTTTTTTTGCTGTCAAAGACAGACAGGTGGTTTTCAATGATGATCACTGATGAGAAGTTAATAGGCCTTGGCCTCATCGAGCTAAAAGACATTCAATATTTGTTCTGCTCTACGGCCCATCAACCAGCTCTCTTTTTACTGCAGGTTTGGGATGGAGTACAATGTCTAACAGCTATCTAAGACAGTGGAAGTGGTGCCCAGCCGTGGGATGAGAGTCTTGCTGAAGACGAAAGAAATCTGTGGTTTCGCAAGATGAGACATCTGTAACTCAATATTCTGTCATTAATCTGCATCTCTCCCTTTCCCAGATAGGACCTTAACTGAAAGTCTTTGTTCCTAAAAGCTGCATTATCTTCCCCAACAGCAGACAACTGTCTTACAGCGTCATTTCAGCTGATGTCAGGTTTCTAATGCACCGCTCTCCTCACCTGCTTTATTGGACTGAGGTTTGATGTTGTATGGCAGCCGTTGCATTGTTCCCCTCATCTCTTGTTTTAAGGCCAGCATGTAGTCCTCATCCTCGCCAGCTTTCAGTGGAACTGGTTTAAAATCAGTGCTCTGGAGAAGTACGGATGATGTAATGCCGATATTAATGATGTTCAAGTGCAAATAAATTTCAAATCTAACTGAAATTCAGACTGCCATGTAAAGGTTTTCAACGTTTTCAGTATGAATAGTCAAAATATACTACATTGTAAGCATAGTCCAAACTGTGTTTAAAAGAAAAAAATCCCCATAAAGCATCCTGGCACAATCCAAGAGGCATGTAAATATCTGCCATATTCTTGGGGAATACACACGGCCAATGAAAACCTGGCCATGAATTTTACATAAGCACATACATTATTGCCCTTTAACCCCTTTGTGCTTATTTGTGAACCCTGTGAGAGACACTCATTGGGTCATAACTCTTAAACACATGTTGGCCATGAGCACGATGGATATACTTTCATCTGCCTTCATTTAAATACAAATGCAGTAACATGTTTCGTAAATTTTATTACAAAGAATAAACCTTAACTTATTATAAGTAAACGTCCACTGTATATAGTCTGTTTTTCAAATCCCATGCAAATTTCACCTACCTCTCTCAAAAAGGTCTCTCCTAAAGTCACTCCAGTAAAGTTTGACCTCAACCCTTTTGAGCATTAGAGGTGAATTTGTTATATTGAAATGCAATCTGACATACTGCTTGTGTGTGTTTGTGTGTGTGTCGGTACTTACTGGAAACAGAGGACTGGGCCCCACCCTGGCTTCTGGCATGTTGCCCCTGCCGATGCCCAGAGCGTCAATATTGAAGGTAAAAGCACCCACTCCACGACCCTTGCCTGCCATGGCTGCAGGTCTCCTCTGTTCCTGCACACACACACACACACACGTCCACATATCTCCAGTCAACACGTGTTGATGAAAGTTAACGTACTACAGCTTCCATCGCCTTTAGCGTGACTCTGCCAGCGATGAAGCTTTAGTCAGCATCAGAGACGCACTCTACGTGTATAGTATGTTGAAATACTTACTAGAAGCCTGTTAGTAGACTGCGCCTAATGTAAAAAAGCACAAAGTCTACTTCAGAGCTGGACAGCGATATTTAGCTCTTACTGGATCCGCATGTTTTAGTTTTTTTATGTACCTCTCTGGACGGTTTTATCTGTCCCTCGGCAACTCCTTAAAAATCACATACATTTCAGCTGAACCTAATGAAGATACTGCTTAGACGTTATACTGCTTAGCTAGCACCGGCTTGGGAAACCTGCACACGCCACACGCCACTGTCAGCAAGCGTAAATGTGGCTTTAACTCGCTCCTCCTCTGCGTGACGACAGAGGAGGCGTGGTTTGCGTATAGCCAATTGCAACCCACGTTAAGCTGCCGTCGTTTATCGGTTTGCCCAGTGAGCTTAGTGTCCTCCTACAAGGGTGTGTCTGCGGCCACCATCGCATTAACCTCAATGAAAACATATCATCTGTAGCTGGTAGGCTAGTTACACCTCTCCCCCCAATAAATCACCTGACAGCACGACACCATACTGAACCCTACTTCGACAAGCGAATGAACTGGGATGTCTGCAGTCGACTGGTACGCTCACAAATCGCTCGGAGACGGAATCTTCTGGATCCAGGAGCGATTCTACCAGTCGGAGAACCGAGCCAACATCTGGTTGCTGCGCGGCACACACCAGGACGTGGTGATAGACACGGGTCTGGGCTTAAGGAGCTTACCTGAATACATCGACGCCAAAGGCCTGCTGGGAAAAGACCCGCAGAGGAAGAACCCGCTGCTTGCCATCGCCACCCACGCCCACTTCGACCACTCCGGTGGTCTGCATCAGTTCCAACAGGTGGGCGTCCACAGCGCGGAGGTCGATGCCCTGGCCAACGGAGACAACTTCGAGACGGTCACTTGGCTCAGCGACAGGGAGATAGCCGAGGCTCCCAGCCCGGGATGGAGGGCAAGGCACTACAAAGTCAAGGCTGTGCAGCCCACACACATACTGCAGGAGGGTAGGTAGGAGATACAGCCCTTGCAGATTTGATTTAGGCTAGAGGGATGGATCTGTGATCAAATACCAGCGTGGTCTAAAAGCATTCACTTAGTGACAAGGACCATAATCGATACAGTAATGGGCTTGATGGATGCACCAGGCCTAGTGTGAGCACAGTACGCTCTACAGAGTCGTTTCCAGCCTCAGATTCTGCACAGCGATTTGGCAGAAGACCAACAATGACTTGCTAGCTCACACATCGAAGCGTATTACATATGTAATGGAGGTAGTGGGGATGGGACAAGGGGTCGGTCTGCCAGTAATTTTTATAGTTACAAAGTAGGCTAGAGGAACCAGTTTAATGCAGCAACATGAGGCCAGGACTGGTGATAACACAGGTGCAATTATCCCATTACATAAAACAGGATATTCTATCCAAGGAATGCAGGTACAGACAATTTCTCCCTATTAGAAGTATGGAAGTGTATGGTTTTAAAAAAACTACAACAAAAAACTCCATTGGTAGCAACTATATGCTCATTCTCTATATCTGCAGAGCTGTTCTATTTTAAGCCAGTGTGATGGCTTTGATGTATTCTCTTGCATCCAAGAAAGAAGAAGAGCATACAGAGACTGGTTTCACACTTAATGAAAGCATCCCACTGCGCGAAGTAACAACCACACAGTCTTCTCTTTTCTTAAACAATTTTTTTTTTTTATAGTAGAATAGAATAGAATAGAATTCAACTTTATTGTCATTGCACATGTTACAGGTACAGGGCAACGAAATGCAGTTTGCATCCATCCAGAAGTGCTTTAGCCATGATATAGATATATTACAAATCTATATTAGCAATAATATAGATATGTAAGTATATTACAGAAATGGGTCTATTATGGTATGTTATAATGTACACGGTATGAAGGTATGTTATGAATATGCTATAACTATAAGTATGTACAGGCTGTAGTGGGTACAAGCTATGAACGGGATATAAATATGAAAAACTATACAGAAATGTGAACTATGCAAGTAATAAACAGTTGTATTATTAAAAATTCTTATTATTATTAGTGGGTCAGAGATCAGCAGGTGGCGAGCTGAATCAACCTACTTGATAAATGTGAAAGTGGATACATTGTTTGAAAGCACTGGTCACTGGAGTCTTTATGTAAAGCACACATTCACCAGAATAGCACACGTAATAATACACAAAGCTTATATCATAAATAATGTATTTGCTGAACCGCTATATCCACTGGGGTTTAATGCAAAATGCAGTATTGTAGAGTAACTCGTTCTGCTGTGTCAGAGCCACTACTGCAGTGCAGCTGGTATATCTCATTCACTGATGTATCAACTTCACCCTTTTTGCCAGTGCAACTCATAACTGGCCTCGACCAAATCGATGATATACTGAATGTCACAGAATCTGTGTGACTCAGTGACATGTGGAAAGCACAAACATAACTCTGACGTGAGTCAGCCAGAATATGAGTTATCATTTAGTTTATATATAAGTCTAAGATTTTTAATGCATAGTCGCCGGTGATTACGGTTCATGCCATGTTTGTATGTGTGAATAATTATCAAAACCTAATGCCTTCTCAACCTTTCTTTCTCCTGCCTAGGTGATGTCATCAATCTTGGTGATAGACAGCTGACTGTGCTTCACATGCCCGGACACTCTCGGGGAAGCATTTGCCTTCATGACCGGGACAATAAGTTGCTTTTCAGTGGCGACGTTGTGTATGATGGCGCAATGATTGACTGGCTGCCGTACAGCCATGTCAGTGACTACATCAGCAGCTGTGAGCGCCTGGTTGGGCTGGTGGACAGCGAACAGGTAACTCTAAGGCCCACTAGAGAGCAGCCTCACAATTTCAGTACACAGTTCCACTTTTTTTTTCCTCCAGGGGTATTTATCCCAAAGCACCTTATATCAACATAGATTTATAATGAAAATGTCATGTTGCTCTGCTGAAATTTGGCATACTAGTATCTATTAGCCTACATATACAAGCTGTGTTTTCTGTGCTAATACTTAAAACAATATACTTTAACATGTACTAAACATTATTTGTTAAATAAAACACATGTTTATTGGTTTTAAAATTGATTTAACAGGTCGACCAAGTCTTCCCAGGGCACTACAACGCATTCGGTGCGAAGCGGCTCCATCGGCTTGCCTCCACGTACATCAGCAGGGCTGAAACATGCCCTGCAAAGTTCTCCACGTTTGCCTGGAGGAGTCTGGCTGGGGTGGCGCTGCGGGTGTGCAACCCACGGTGTGCCTGCTAATGAGAGTGGGTCATTGAGCTGCAGGAAGCAAGTGCACAAAGAGATGTTTTAGTATGGAGGACATGGAAGGGTGGGGGCGGGGTTACCTCTGTTTTATCTGCAACTTAACGTAACGCTGTCCATTTACTTATGTAATCCAGCTGAAAGTCAAGTAATTGCCAAACTTTGTGTGAAATGTCCCTACTGGGTTACAGAAGTCAATAATCAGCACCATATGAAGTACATTATAAAAAATATTTACTGGTCTTATATGCTGATGAATATGTATATGTTGGTGTTAATATAATTCAGTGTTTGATTTTTATACTTTAAGCATATGTGAAGTTACAATAGCACAACAATAGCACAACTCTGCACTACAAACAGAACAGGGCGCTTTGGGTTTTCCTCTGAGACATTTGAAACAAAGTCATTATGGCCATAGTGTTCTCTATGCATATTACAATGCTCAGTGAAGACTCAGTGTCGACTACCTCCGATGTTTGTAATTGTGCTTTGTACTATTGACTAATCTGCGGCTTTGCTATCGAAACATAGACAATAAAAGTCTCTGTTCTACCTACTTTTTGAGTCTTTTGCAGCACAGATTGCGGCGGCTTCTAAGTGGATTTGCTTCTCCAGGGGGAACTTAAATGGGATTTGTTGCAAGAGAGAGAAAAAGGGGCAGAACAGAAGTGGATGGAACATGATCCGACACATGTTCAAAGGATAGAGAACTTAAAGTCATTTTCTGATGTGATGGAAACATCTCTCAATGCATGGAAAGGGTTTAATATGGGGGGCTTTTAGTGTACAAAATTAAGAAAAGTAGCATGATTTAACCTTCTAACAGAAATATCAGATTTTATTTTTAAGTTCAATGCATTACTAAAGAATTTCACCATAAAAATATACACATAAAAATATTTATAGAACATGTTAATTTGGATACATAAGAAAAGAAGACAATTAATTTAATTCATAAAACATTTATTTAATGTTATATTATTTAAACACGAGATTTCCACATCTCTCGTTTTCAGTTCACCTCCGAGGATGGCATACATGCAGAACACGAAGCCTGCCAACACGGGAAACTCCGCCAAGGTTATAACATTCAATGTTATCTGTGACAGTTAAAAGATCTGCACGTTATCTAATATCATGATCATCAAATATCAACACAGCTGCATTTATAACAAATTCAGTAATGTAACAAAAAAAACCCAAACAAATACAGGAGGTTTATTTGTTAACTTATAAAAATTAATTTACAGTAACAAATGCTGTCGTTCAGCGTACGACAGATCTTAGTAAAAATGATTCGAGTTCTGAGTCCCCAAGAGGGCAACGGCTTCCAGAGTCCACAATAAACACGGAAACGGGGGAAAAAAAGAGGCAAAGCTTTACTGCACTGACAACACCAACCCTCCTATAAGGTTTTCTGTAAGAAGAAGTAACTGCACTGACTGTCTAACTAGCAAAAATGTAACAAGAAATTGGCGGAGGTGTTAAGAAATCATTACAAAGGTGACTGACTAGAGCTCATGTAAGCACACTTTTTTTTTTTTTAGAATGTTTTTTTAGAATTTCGCCAAGATTTAATCAGTTTTCTTTCTTTGTTGCGTGATAATAAATCGCTGGACGGCAGGATTGGAAACTGAAAACAAACAATGCTGCAGATTAGTATGGCTTGGGTTTTCAATAATAATTGAGCTTTGGTTATAATCAGTTTGCTTAGGAGTTGCACTGTGTGCATACAAATCTATTACTTAGTCTGATGGCAGCCTGTCAATAGTGTGCAGATAAGAGGAGAGCACAGATTTTTTTACCCTGAAGAGATCGCAGTCGTAACTAGTACAGTAAGTATGAGCACTTGCAGAGTCGTTTGAAATGATCTGACGAAGAAATATTTTAACTGCAAGTCAAAACATGCATGAAAACAAAAATGGTGCATAGTCGTTCTGGGAGACCCCACAAATTGCATGAATAATAAGTAGACTGAAACAAGTATCACAGTACAGGCGACAAATAACCCTTAACTCTACACATAGCAGTCTCTAATACTGGGAAAATCTTGACTGGTTTTACCTGTTTGTCTTGTGTGTTCATATTACCTCATGCTAACTGGCTTCTATACTGCAAACACTGCAAACTTTTTGAACATAACAGGAAACATCCAGTCAAAATACAACTAGTGCATTAACAGACATGTTTGAGTGGCCAGGATCACTGGCCACTCAAAATGTGTGGTTTTTTTTTACTTTGTTTTTATTTTTTCCAGTTTCAAAATCAGATTCTCAAAGACAGAAAGTAGACCTAGTGTGGCATGAATTTGAGCATGCCCTTATCTGTTAGCATCACCGTCTTCCAAGCAGCATTACCATCAATTCTCAAAGCAAGCAGAGTACCTCCCAAATACTTTTGGACTGTTTTGAAACACTGTGGCAACCGAGCAAATGTCAGAGACTCCTGCAGTGATTGTCACCTGTCTTTTGTGTTAGAAGACATTCCAGTTCGCCCAAGAAGGGTCTTCCATGGCTCGTCCTCCACCAAGAGGCAGGCTGGAGGCATCCTTCTCAGGGCTGTGCATGTGGCATCGCAGATTGCCTGAGTTTGGTTCACGTGTGTTAAGCTAGTTAAACCGTGGTTTAATAAGCACTGTTGCCTTTAGGCAAGCAAAAAAAACAAAAACAAAAAACACTGTCAGAAATGAAGTTTACACCTGACTCTGGAGCCAGTTGCGAGGATCAAGTCTGGCCCTGAGGTTTCTTAGGCTGCGTCGAGCTGGGGAGGGCCTAGAGAAGGGGCCTCCCTCTGATGACTCTGGGCTGTGGCTGCCCTCACTGTTGCTGGAGCTGTTGCTTGAGGTGGAGCTGGAGCAGGATAGCGTGGTTTGCGTGCTGTGCTTTGACCGGGGGGAGCGAGTGGAGATGGGGAGAGGAGCAAGCAGGGACGAGGGAGGCGGCTGGCAGGAACACTGGAAGGTCCCTCCACCTCCGTACCCTCTCCCTCGAAGGGTGCTGAGCTTAGCATCCAGAGAAAGAGTGCGTGGCCTCAGACGCGAGGGGGAAGATGACAAAAGAGAGTAGCTGGAAGTAGGTTCAGGCCAGCCGTGGTGGTGAGAGCAGGGACTGGTGCTACAGTGGCTGTCGCTATCTGAGGTCAGACTTGCGTCTGAAGACAGCAGGCCGAGCTGTGGGCAGCGGTGAGGACTCACAGGACTCCGAGGCAGTCGATGAGGGGTGCAGGGGCTGTGGCCAGACATGCGAGTACAGTGACGAGAGCGGCCAGTACATCTGGCATTGCTCTCCTCAAACGCAGACATCCAGGTGGGAGAGGTGCCTAGCTGGCTACGGAGCTCCAGCTCCTGCATTCTCCGAGCCAGGATGTCTGACACGGTGCTGCTGAGGTCATCAGATGACTCAATAACTGCAAGAGAAAAGCAGCAAATCTTATTAGTATGCCGCCATTGAGTAAACCTGAGACCAGTTTTACAGACTGATCAGTTTTTCCTGGGATTAAATCTAAATTGCAGGGTTTTTTCTTTAGAACAAGTGCTAAAGATAGCAATTACTGTAGGATATTTTTAAGATTTTGAGTGTATTCATGACATCTTTCCAATTCATGCAGATTACAATACTGCATAATTCTATTCAGAATGCAGAGTCCAGCCTCTTGGGATTGCAACATTTACCACAAACCAATTCACGTTGAGTCCTAGTCCTGTTACTTCACCTGTCGTTGTAATAGGATGAGAGCAGAGCACGAATCTCAGCAGACACAGCGTTATCCTGCAGCAGAAGACCCTCACAGGAGGGTGTGGCAAGAGGAGCTTCCAGGGTTAGGAAAATCAACAGGGAGGTTGGTGAGAGAGTTGGGATAGAGCAGAGACGGGGATGAGGGAAAAGTTGGTAGTTTGGCAATTTTAATGGACATGACAAAAAAAGGAAAAGGATGCACGCTCATTCAAACAGGAGTGACGGGAAAACAAAGAAAGATTTCATTCATGCATCAAGATAATTCAACCATTACAATGAACGGTGAAAGTTTATGAAAAGTGTGATGAAATGAATTTTATGTTATTTCACACGGAAATGAGGGAAATGGGGAACAGGAAATGGCGAGGAAGGATAGATATGACATACAAAGGAACGTGAAAAGGAAAAAGAGGAATAGAGAAACAGAAGACAAGTTAGTCAGCACGTCAGAGATAAGAACCCTTCTATTTAGAGCACAGAGAAGTGAAGCAGAGAGTGAGTTTGAGAAATCGGATAGGAAAACGTAATTGACAGCACTCAAGAAACAGACGCAGCCACATGCAATGCAGGCACAGTGTTTTGATTCCCTGCTTTGTTTTTCACATTAGGTTATAAGTGACCAAAAAACACCTTGACACAAGGACAATTCTTACCCATTTCATGATACAAAGAGCCTTGTTTCGGTGTGATAGGAGCTGGTTTTCGCGGCGATGGAAGTTCAATTTTCATTAAGTCATCACAGCATTGTTTCCACTGGCCTGTACATTGGAGACAAACGTCACCATCAACAAATCAAGCAGCAGATGGAGAATATACGGCACTATATGCTGTCCTTTAAAACACATGTTAAACGACCACATGTTGTGGGTTTAAATGACACATAAGGACCTACTCATATCGTAGAAATGTTGCCAAAAGGCTTCCATCCAGCGGTGTGTCTCCTCGCGGCTGTCTGTGGTCACAGTGTGCGTAACCTCCTCCCCTCCGTAATGGTTGCTGATGCAGATATTCTGAACTTTACTGAGAGGGTCTTTCTCTGATGCACGTATTCTGGTCTCCTGAAACACAGGAGTGGCAAAGAATACAATCATGTACCGCAAAAATGTCTACAGCAGGGAATGAATGGCAGTACAGTGGTTGAATGAATAAGTTTCCACTGCAAATAAGCCCTCATTAATAAAGTCACCAATTAGTGCTCTTCCAAACCATTTCCCTCCAGCAATTATCCAACAAAAGAATGCTGACTCCCAATTCCCATAACTTGCTGTACTCTAAATATGGCTAGGTATGGCTATGACCACTAGATGGCAGTGTTGTCCTGTTCACGCCTTTGCCATGCTGCGCTCCCTCTTTCTGTCTCCCCTAATGTGAGCTGCACAAAAGATCATACAGACCCAATCTGATTGACTTGGCTTTAGGTTATCAGCGTGCTCAAGGTCAGAGGACACAAAAGACCGAGTGCGTCACTACAGAAAGATTGTGAAGCAGTCTAGGAATCGACTCTTAAAGACACAGGAAATGAGATGATTCAGAGCGTGACTGGCCAGCTGACTGATCTTTATTTGATGCAGGGAAAAATGATGGCATGAGAGAATTATGACTTCCAATTGGATAGAGGGGTCTCCCTGTGTATACAAAGCTTTGAGCAGTAGAAATGTGCCTTTACAGGCCTGATGAACGTTTCTACAGTCACACCTCAAAAGGTAACAAACACAACCGCAGTTTGGTACTCATGAACTCAATGGAGCTCGATTCTGACAGCTCTGGGCGGCTTTTTAAAATAAACCTTGAGAACCGCTGCAAAGAAAAGAGCTAAATTTTCTCTTTAGGCTCAGAGTCTACCAGTGAGCTTGTTATTTAAACGTGTGGTAATCCACAAGCCTGTTTTCTTACCATCTATTCTGATGCCTTAGGTGTTACTAAAAATATGCAGCTACTGCTTCTCTAAGGCTGGATCGAGCTCAAAGAGATAATATACTGCCTTTCAGATTTCTTTGCTGACCTTGTTGATGCCAATAGTGAAAGCTGGCTCAACGTTAGCCTCCACATCTTCTTGCCGGTAGTAGCAGAAAAGGCTTGTTCCTTTGAGAACGGCGTGAACTTTTGTCCAACTCTGAGGGTCACCTCCACACTGCTGCTAGGTAAAGAAAAAATGGAATAAAGGAAAAAAAAAATACGCACACAAAGAGAGAAGACAACATGAGATTGAGAGAACAGGAATGTGGTAGGGGAGAAAAAGAAAAAAAAAGTGTGGACATATGCCAAAAAATCTAGCACAACCCTTGGAGGAATAGTTTGCAGCAATGCACATTTGCAGGCTTGCCAACTTACCTTAACTTTCAAGCACCCGCTCATCATCTGTTGGGTCATACAGTGAGGCTGAGCTGCGAGGCGGCAACACACACTACCATAGAGTGGCAGCCAGTACGAACACTCTTCTGCAGGGAGGGAATAGATGGATGGGGAAAAAATAAACACTATAAATAAATAAAAATATTCCCATGCCATTAAAATTCCACACAGAAACATGCATCCACACACACAAACCGACACACACTGCATCCTCACGTCACACCGTCCCCCCCTTTAGCACACACTGGAGTATAAAAGGATGGCAGCTGCAGGGAGTGTCGTGCAGTTTGGCAGTGAAACTTTACAGCAGGCTGCAGGGCCAATGAATAAAACACTAGAGGCCTGTCTGTGTTAGGGTCTGGACCCTTGTTATCCAGCATCATTACAGCTTTACACAGCAGTCACCTCACTAGCGCAGCCTTTATTACTGTGACCTTGACAATGGCTGCCTGTCAGAGAAAGTGGGAGGACAGAGGAGGAAAAGAGGAGGAGGCATAGCTGCGCCATATGCTGGTGTAAAGGAAATGATCAGAATGCCGGGCGAAGAAGTGAAGCGGTGACGAGTGAGAGAAAGACGAAAAATAGACAGATGGCCGATTTGGCAGAGGAAGCAGAAAGATGGCGAGGACACAGATTGATGGTGGCTGCCACTCACCGTTGCCTGAAATGATGAGGTCATGCGTGCGAAAGCTGTCCTGGACGTGTGACAGTGACAGTGTGGTGTGGGCTAAGAGGTGGTACTTCGGGCCCCTGTCAACACACGAGTGAAGAGAAGAATTTAATTTGGTGTTTGAGTATGCATGTTTGCAGTGAGCGATGGTCTCAATAAATATCTGCTCTCTGAAATTACAAGTTATTTCCAATCCATTTTCTGTTTTTGTATAAAAACTACAGATATTATATGAAGCTAAACTTACGGTACAGAGGGAACTGGCAGCAGGAGAGGGGCTCCCACTCCGTTGCTTACGGGACTACACGGTCCAGGCTCCATGGCTGCCCGGAGTTTCTTCCCAGCTGATCGACCCAGTGAAGAGCTCAGCTTGCTGGCCAGTTTCCTTGGTGTGCTGCCTGCAGAATAGTCGTCCTCTGAGCAGCAGCTATACAACTCAACCCGTAGCTCGAAACCCGGGCTGGCTTCACTACTGCAAGAGAAAATGCTCATCATCACCATCTCTTTAAGGGTCATTTTAAAAGAGTAACTAAGTGCATCCACTCGAGTACAGTGCTTACTTTCACATACCTATGTGCTTCATGTGTGCTGTTTTATACCTTTCTTGTATAATATTTTGGGCAAAAATGTTGTACAGTATTCATGAGCCTGGTTCTGCTGGAGGTTTCTTCATGTTAAAAGGCAGTTTTTCCTTCTCACCGTTGCCAAGTGCTTGCTCGTAGGGGGAGATCTGATTATTGGGGTTTTCTCTGTATTATTGTAGGGTCTTTAGGTCTCTAGGGTATTGTAGGATAATCCTACAATATGAAGCACCTTGAGGCAACTGTTACATAAATAAAATTGAACTGGCAAAACGATTGTAGTTTGTACTGTATTGCTCTTTCAGTTACTTGCCAACTAAATTTATTTGAATTCTAAATACCGAACATAAAATTGGCTTAACAATCAGGTGTTATAGATCGCCCTCTCATTGGTACTTACAGTATATCAAACAGTGTATTTACTAATTGTTCAACTTTGGATGTACAACATTACAAAACCATATTAATACAATATTAAACTACTGGTTTTACTACAGTCTTCTGTGATCCTTCTGTGATCGTCACAGATTATATGGCTGTTCGGTTATAGGACTGACAGGTGACTTACAATACGATAGTGTTGTCAAAGCAAATATCGGTGAGTGTCCGGTCTACTATCACCATGTCTGTATCAAAGATTTCTTCTCCCAGCTGCAACAGGCAGAACACCGCACATCGATGAAGCTCTATGAATGAAAATGTAGAAAGTCAGAAGAGAAGAAGAGGAAACACTTCTACATAACAGTGCATTTTTGAAACACTTCGGCAGCTTTCATTTACTTGCATCACTTTAAAAATCAGAGCCAAAATGGCAATGCAGCAAGCATGAAACTGTTGGTTTCAGTTTAATGGTCAGCTGTGCTAAGAATTCCTGGGAAATACTGAACAGTATTTTGAAACTAAACTACAGGAGTCTTTGTGTATGTGAAGATTATATTTTAGGGCAGGTTTCACTGTGATTATAGATAAACCCTGAAATCTTTGTGTCTAAGAAAACCATCATTTCCATAACACCAGTGAGAAATTATGAAAGAAACTACAACAGATGGAGCAGACAGAGTCGGGGCAGACAGGCCTAATCTCTTCTTCTCGAGCAGTTTGATTAGAAAGTTCCAGGAATCTACCCATAAAAATCAAAATTTGACCAATCTCCACTTAAAGGTCACCTTCTTGTACACTGATACACTGATTTCAGTGTTGCCATTATTTTGAGACGGAACAGTTTGTTGTCTTGAATGATCGCCTAAGGTCAGCGAGACCAAACAGTAGTTTTCTGTAAGAAAAGAAGTGCCGAATTATTTCAAGAGTAGCACATGAGTGGGGTTTTTTTGTCAAATTCTTAAGGGCTGTGTCCACTGAGGCGTCTGAGCGATGTCCACGTTTCAAAAATAAAATAAAAGTGGATGGGTTGCCGCTCTTACACGCTAAAGGAGATCCAGTGTGCACCGAAGAGGCACCAGTGCCTCTGGGAACAAAACGAGCTTACACGAAACAATTTAAAAATAGCAGCAGCACTGAAATTGGTCTAGAGGTGAGCAAGGACTTGACATTAAAGAAAAGATTGGAAAATTTGAATTTCCCAAGATTCCCAGAACCCTATGATCGCACCTTCACCCCACAACCTCATATTGGGGATAATCTTGTATTTCTTCCTCATAAAACACTTTATAACTGGCACTGGTATGTTCTACTCGCGCTTCCATGTATACGGCACATTGACACCTAATGTCCCACACTTCATTGCGCAATTACTATTCCAAGTATGAAATCAACACTCCTCACTAAAATCTGACTGGACAAATGAGAAAGGAACACACTTTGGTCCTCCTTGCCTCAGTTTATGTCTCTGTGTGCTTAATGACCTTGACTTACAGCCTCATTAAGCTTTGTTAAGAGACTACTACCTGTCTCAAGAGTTCATTTCCATGCACAGGTCACGCAGATTAATTCATTCGAGTTGCCAAGGGAGAGGCTGAGCACTGAGACTATTATAATGACGGTATGGAGGTTAACACACATTAAATTTATCTAGAGCAGGTGGGATAGAAAATGTCCATATAAAAAAATTTCCATTGTTAGATTCTCAGCACTCTATTGAATTTTATCACGAAGACAATTTAATACGAGCAGGTTCACAGGAATATTCCATAAGACAGAAAACTAGAGTGGATCCTTAAACGCACCACAGATTTTATTTGTTTTTGGCTTACAGTTCTCCCATCACTACTAAGAATGAAGCGCTTCATTGCCTTCGTGATTCTTTGTAATAGCCAGGAGGCAAAGCAATCCAGACAGGACAGTGGGTCAAGTTGTGCTTCCAGGAGTAAAATAGAGAGATAAAGCCAAAAAAACAAAAAAGCTCCCAATGACTGTGAAGATCATCTCTAACAGCTGCGACTAAAGTTGTTTTCGCACATGCATTGCAGCCCTGAATGTTTCTAAGCAATATTAAATGAATCAGTTGAATTGGAAATTAAACAGCCCTCACTGTGTGAACTCCCCCAGTAAGTAGTCTAGTAATTAATGTCTGATTGAGCCCATGTGAGAACTGGGTAGATCACTGATTAGAGAAATCACAGTGAGTGAGTGTGTGGTCCATACCCAACCCACTGAGTAAAGCAGCAAATAGCATATTTCTAGTGCTGAGAATTCATCTGACACAGAGCCTCCTGTTGTGTGCTGGATGTGAGAAAGGGCAACTTTGTACAGATGGATTTTTGCCACACTGTCTGGAGTCTGGGGTGTAAAAATGGGTACAGAGCAGAGAAAATGTCACACCGCAATCCGTCCATGTAAGCGTTTTCACCCGGAAGCGAGAAATAAAAGGTCATTTTCATTCTAGAGTCTCAATGAATCTCACATCTCCCCGCCCCGTTATTTCAAAGATTTCAGATACAACCGCGGAAGCAACCGAGGGCTACCTTCCACAGAAGCGTATTATTAATAAATACTGGAAGTATAAATCATTCATAAGTCATCAATGACTTTCTTCACACACACACACACACACACACACGTGACTTCTCACCTCCTTTGTTCTTGAAGTACTCCGTGTCTTTCCACATGAGAGGGATCCGAAGATCTGTAAAGGCAACAGGCTGAAGATTAGACAACAGAGGACCAATTATGCCTTTCTTTATAGTCATGTGAAAAAGAAAGCTTTCACAGGACCCTCAATAGTCCCGTGAAAAATAAAGTATAG